CTGACTGGAACCGAGTCATGGATCGTAATACTGTAGTCGAAAATAATTTCATTAGATTTCTTGCAGTCTGTGAGTGCAAACGAGTCTTCAACAACCTCTCTGATTGCTCAATCCACGGTATTGCATCCGACGCGCTCCATAACCCTGTTCCAATGATGCTGGCCAATAGTATACGATATGCGAAGGTTGCTGGGTACTGGTGCTCAAAGTCTGACAGTGCATACTCTTTGTCATTACAACCTAGATGTCTGCTGCCTGTCTGAATTTCGATTTCCCTGCTTGGAAATCATTTCACACTCTGTACTAAAGCGGCCCGCATGACTCGGTAGACACGGTCGGGCGATTGCTCTCAAGCAACAAGCGAAGCGTGCATTACTTGCGAGAGAACCAGTCAATGACTGGAAGGAAACTCGCTTTATCAGCATCTGTGCGTTGTTTTCCTGTACGCCACCAAACAAGAAGAAGAAGAAGAAGAGAGGAAGAAGAAGAAGAGAGGAAGAAGAAGAAGAATCTAGCTTTATCTACGATTAAAAATCATAAATTTTCAGCGAAAAAAAATGGCTGCGTTCACGGAGAGCAGAGAATAGGTAAGGTAATGAGTCATGGTAAAAGGTCATGTAATACTGACAAGTCAAGTTTTACACGGCATCCACGCCTACTATGGAGACAGATCAGATTTCAACTTCTCAACGTGAGGTAGCGTACCTAGGAATGGAGAGTACCGAGTGCTGATATGCTGATGTGCGGCAAGTCATATGATGGAAGCCAGTGCTATATGCTGATGTGCGGCAAGACATATGACGGAAGCCTCGACGCATGGGACGGGAAGACTTTGCAGTCATTAGTTCAGAGTGGAGAGGGTGGGTGACCTCATTAAGGACCTTTTACTTGCAACTACAAGTTAGCCGTGGAGTGGTACAGTCCAGCTAGATCAAGCATGATCTTAGGTACTGGAGGCGAATGTAAACTTCTGCTTGTTGTTAAACAAGAAGTTCCCTCGGGTAACAGTTCAATTTAGGTGACCAAACAGCACGCAAAAGCTGTAATACGGGGCAGACGGTAATACGGATTCAATGTGTAAAGCATATCGGGAGAAAGAAAAACAAAAAAGGAGTGTATCAAAGTAGAAAATAATAGGAATAATTGCTTACATACTCAACCAAATATTTGCGCCGGATTATTAAAATAACTCAATAGTGCTCCATTGGACACAATTATCGACTCTATATCATATCTTCATCTCTATAGAGTTGAAACAGAGATTATATAGAGTTGATATAGAGTCGATAATTGTGTCCAATGGGACACTATTGGGCCACTTTATTTATCGTGCGCAAATAGTAGATTATTCAAGTATGCTGTTTTGTGACCTAAATTGAACTGTTACCCACCCTCGTTGAGTCCAACCAGAGTACTGCGAATATAGCCCTTTAGTAATTAAAAAAACTCACTTAAACGATTGCTTGCCGCATATAAGTTGCGTCAGCCTGGTGGACAGATGGTTCTCCCAAATAGGCGTCTCCACCTACACTTCCAATATGTATTTTTTTTAAATCGGCGGATGAAACCGTATTTGACGACAAAGAGCATTCTTCATTTGCCGCCGCTGAGGCTTGTGGCGTTTTTGTTAAAGAAAATAACGGACTTGCTAAGTCGGTAGCCATTTGTAATCGGCAGCAAAACTATCTGGTTGCCTCGCACAGCTGACCTTGGTTCTGTAGGGAGCGTCTGGTGAACCGCAAGTTAGCTGCTGCAGCCAGACGTTCTTGGCGTGGTTTAGGCTTAAGAGTTATGCCCCCCCTCTCACTTGCTGCAATCATCCTTGCATGCTGCTCCCCAAACCACAAATCGCCTGCTTTACTTTCATCAATTCAACACGTTCTCTGCTTCAGATACAATCATAGCTCCGAGGATGCCGAAATTTACCGCGAGTTTTTAGACGTCGCCACTCGCATTATGCCGGACATCTTCAAGTCGGTAGCCATGGAGAATAGGAGCTGTTGCGAGGGCCCGATCGTCAATGATCCAGTCGACGGTGCTTATCAACCGGATAATCTCTTAGGTACGCGCTTGCCTCTTCCTGCCTCTACTTTTATGTCCATCTTGATTCAAGATTACAGCCCGAAGGCCTGCAGTCGGTGACCAAACCCATAAAAGATTAACCGAAATTATGAAATGCCTTTTAGAGCAGGAGGAATTACTTTAGCCAGGTTGTAATATTAAATTGCAACATGATTTCTAGGTATTTCAGA